ACATCCTGAAATCTCTCAGTCAAACCTTCATCCACATAAGGTTGATAAAATGTCGGATTTTCATCCGCATCTGGTTGATACGAGGTTGAGGCTTCAGGGGGGTCGTTAGGTGGTTGTGGGGGATTGAACTGAGACATCGGTACACCGTATGCGTCATATACCATTTGTTGGTCCCACCTCATTTCAGCACGGTCTCCCCACGCACTCATCTCTGGAGGGACGTAACGAGACGAACCTACCGTTTGTGGTATAACAGATGGATCCAAAGGTTCGCCGTGAGAAGTCCAATTATAATAATTGGGAACAAAACCGACCGCGTACAAATCATACCCAACTTCGTGTGGGTCTTTAAATTTGAGATTTTTACACTTTGAACATGGACATCTTATTTTATCACCACTCATATAAGCCGGATGTTCAAGTGCAAATTCAATAAATTCCCCGACTCCCTCGAGAAAATTTGATTGCATTCCGTACAATACCGCATCTTTATCATACATCCAACTTCTATTTTGTTTATACATTATGCCTGAATATTATAATAAAAAAGTATACACGTTCAAATACTAACAATAATACTAACAAATTTTAAGTGAGTTATTTCACTAAATAATCAACTAACTAATTTTCACTAAATTAAATGAAATGCACACAATTCACAACAATAATTCACAAAATATAAGTAATTACCTAATACTTAAATTTAACTAATATTACAAAAAAATTAAGTAATTTATTAACACTACATTTAAATTAAACATACGTTTAACTAAATTTAACTAATTTATTTAGTTAAATTTAACTAAATTTAACTAGTTCATTCCGTCCTCTTTTAATGCATCACTACGTTTAAACCTACGTTTAGCTAACGAATTTTAATTAAATTATTTTTGTAAACCTACATTTAAACCTAAACTAAATTATTACGTTAATGACATTTAATGTTATTAGTACTACACAATTAACAATTCCAATTCACTAAATTAAATAATATGACCAAATTAAACCCAATAATTTGAACATGTATATAAGGTCATTTGAATTAATAAATAATACACAATTACAATAACAAGTCACAATACACTTAATTAACACATTACTAACGTACGTTTAACTAACTAATTTCAATTAACATAAAGATCACTACGTTTAAAACTACGTTTAGCTAACTAATTTTAATTAAATTATTTTATAAACCTAACAGTTTAACTAATTTTATGACATTACTACGCTTACAGTTGAATATGTTGTTAATTAATTAACAACATCACTAATTTAATAGTTTTAATAATTTAAATTGAACCAACTAATTCTGAATAAAAATAATAATTCAAATAACATACCTTAACTGCATAAATGGGGAAAATGATAGAAGACAGACTACATCCTTCGATCTTTCAAACAGATACTGTATATACTGGGAATGAATTGGTGTGGTTCTGTTGAATGAACTGCTCCTGCATATATAAAAAATTTAGTCACGGACTTAGTCACGGATTTGTCCGTCACTAAGCAATACCGTGTCCATTACGCGTCCGATCCGTGTTATTGACGTGTAAATGACGTGTAAATCAAAGTAGTCACGGACATAGTCACGGACATGTCCGTGACTAAATTTATCCGTACATAATACCGTTGCCGGATTGATTTATGGGAGATGCAAAATTATTTTTTAAATTTAGTCACGGCTGTAGTCACGGATGTGGCCGTGACTATGTCGCCGGAGTAAAACAAGCCAGGCCGGAAAATCAAACGGGCAATCGGAGGATGTTAGTCACGGACAAAAATCCGTGACTACGTGTAGTCACGGCACTAGTCACGGTAAAATCCGTGACTAATTTTTTTTTTAAATTTTCGTGACTAGTCCGTGACTAGTCCGTGACTAGGCTAGTCACGGACCAAATCCGTGACTAGGCTAGTCACGGACCAAATCCGTGACTACGGTCCGTGACTAAACGAGTGTTTTTTTGTAGTGGATCATCCAAAAAAAATGATTTATGCGAGATTGATTTGAATATAAACTGCAAAGAAGATATATTTAAATTACTTTGTTGTGACTATTGAATAACGAAAAGAGGACACAAGTTAGGAGAAATTTGTTGATTTAGTCCCATAACTTATAGCTATATTCGATATTGGTCCTGTAACTTTATTAACTTGCAGATTACATCCCGTAACTAATAAGTTGGTGCAATTTTGGTCCTTCTCTGCCGGAACTTACCAATTTCGCCGGAAAAGACACATCACCTGCCACATGGTATATTATTTGGAACTCATTTGCTGACTCAATCTTGGCCCTTAGCTAGAGTTAAAAAATTATTTCTTCTTGGTTGCGGCATGAGCATTTTGAATGAAGTTTAAATCTTTTTTTATTCATGTTTTAAGAATAAAGCATTTGAAATGTTACATCATTTTCACTTCTCACATCTTTAACATGAGAAAGATCAGGAGCAAAAACACTAGCCCCACAACAACTATGAGGAGCCTTTTATTTTTAGCCTTCAACTTTACAACCTCTTCCTCTTTTGAATTGAGTCTTCTAACCAATCCCGGAATTATCATCGTTCAACGATGGCACATAGGTGGGTCCGCCCATTCAAAAAATCAGCAACCTTCTTTTGTCTGTATCAAAACAAGATGAAGCTTAACTTACTTTTTACTGCTTTGAACACAAAAATACATTATCAAATGCCCCCAACAAATAGAAGATGATAATTTTATTAGCAGAACCTAGCTTAAATTATAAAATACATTTTAATTTTCAAACAAATTTATTTTTCAAATGCTATTCTTAAATTTCTAGTTTATTTAGTAAAAAAAGAAGCAAACAATGTAAATTAAAAAGCTGAACTTCTTACTCTGCTTCTAGCGCGCACACGAAACCTCCTTCCAGGATCGTTATCAGTCCAAGAAGTTAGAAGAGAAACCTTTTTACCACAATCACACTCCATAAACTTTTCTCTGATCGAGAGCCGTTACTAGCATATTTGAAGAATAATTCACTCTCTCGATTTAGTTCAGGAGAAATTTTCAGGTAGAGTTATATGTTCTTCCCCCCTTTTGCAGATCCGATAATAGGCTTGGTATGGTTGTGCACGCACTTAACGAAGAGCTCTCGTACTCTGGTTTTTTAACTCCAGCTAAGGGCCAATATTGAGTCAGTAAGTGAGTTCCAAATAATATACCATGTGTCAGGTGATGTGTCTTTTTCCGACGAAATTGATAAGTTCCGGCAGAGAAGGACCAAAATTGCACCAACTTATTAGTTACGGGATGTAAATTGTAAGTTAATAAAGTTACAGGACCAAAATCGGATATAGCTATTAGTTAAGGGACTAAATCAACAAATTTCCCCACAAGTTAGTACATGGCATATAAATGTTGGGAACTCATCATAGGATTATTAAAGAGGCTCTCAATGTATTTGTTGTACTCTTCAACGTACTCAAAAGTGTAAGATGAATTAAATATCAAAATAAACTCAAAATTTTTAAGTTTTGATGTGAAAAGATGTTTAAGATTTTGTTAGAATAGACTATCTTATTAGAATGCATAAACAAAGAAATAAATATCCAAATTATATACTCCATGTATATGCAGGTATAAACACTTTTTACTTTATGAGTTTATCCCATTAATATATAATTCTGATAATTAGTTTAAATCATTATTCATTATAGCTACATAATATTTCCTTATTCTTTTTCACGTGTCACTTATCCCTTTTTTATTTTTTAAAATACTTTTTTTAAAACTTTATATCCGGGAACTTTAATCCTACCAATTCTCTTTCTCTTTAAATTGTATTCACACTTTCTTTTTCTATATCCAACTCTTTTCCTAGTTTTTCTTCCCTTCCTAATTTATGTACTTTGCATCATCATACTCCATATTTCCTATACTTTCTACTTAATCGAATCGCATCAAGTTGAATCAGATCCAACCGTAACTGAACCATATACTATTCAATTTGAGTTTGATAGTATTTTTTCAAACTGAATCAAATCGAACGAAATCAAATTAAAATCGTGAAAAACTAAATAAAACCAAATCAAACAATAAAATTCAATAAAACCTTAATATATTTTTATAAACAACTAATTCAAATCGAACCGAATCGAAATATAGTATGAATTGTATTTGATAATCGTTCTTCGATCCATTTCTGATCGAATCGAAAACCGATAAAATCAAATATAGACTGACATATCCGTTGACAGGCCAAATAGATATGCACAACATTATAAACTTTGTGAAAATAATAGAACAAAGTGCGCAAACTTAAAAGCAAAATGTATCTTCACTTTTTTAAAAAAATAAGATTTCTCATAGAAAATTAGTACTTTTATCTGATAAAGTATCGATTCTTATAGAGGCGTATAAGTCTACACTCTCTCGTTTTCTCTCGCAAAGAAAGCTAGTAGAATAGACTATAAATTAGGTCACAAAAGGTCCCTTGGATTACTGGGAGTATAAAAGCATATTACAAGTATAATATATGATAATGGTATAATAATGTTAATAATAATAACACTGCGTAATAAATATTGGGTTTTACGTATAAATGACAAAAAAGTATTAGTTTTGTGGTATCTCACTATCTCAATCAGTATCACTTATACAATATGTATGCATTAGTGTGCATATTTTTAATTGAAGAATTACAAATAATAACTTTATGTATTATTATTGTATGTGTGAATGTATGTGTGTGTATTTTTTTATTTGAATTATTATAACTAATCACCTTATGTATTAGTGTGTGTTGCTAATAAGAAATTTGAAACAGTCCGGATACTTAACCGATCAGAATCATATGCACTACATCCGATTCGTTTGTTAAAAATATTAACAAATCCAATAAACGAAATAAAATATACGTAGTATATTCATACCCATTAAAAACAACCTGGTTCGGGTCTAAACCCGATTACCCGACCCATTGAATCTATGTTTGGGTAGCTTTTATGATGTATGAACTGATCATTCTTGATTACCTGAAAATGCATTTGGAACAAAAGTAATTTATTTCCAGTGGTGGGGGCTGCATCGCCGGTTGACTTTGCTAGAAAATCAAGTACGCACAGAGATACAGAGCAAAACACAAGTCAAATTCGACAATTAGTGTTGTCGTAGACTCGCAGCCCAGTACACTCCGATTTTCAGCTCTTCTTCGTCATCATCTCTCACCGCCGAGCCTGAATTTTACCTTTACTGGAAACCCATGGAAGACGCCGCTTCATTCACTGTTTGAAGTTTAAAAGAAGCATCTTTGCAGGCCTTCAAGCGGGAGCCACCAGGAAAAGAAAGAAGCTTTCATTTATTATCTTTCTGTAAGCCTTCTGTTTCTGTTTATGAAATCTTGTAAATCCCGCTTTAGAATTTTCCTGACTTCTGGATTTCCTTGGATGGTTTTGATCCTGGAGATCAATTTCAACTTGGATTGTATATTTGGGTTTCTCGATATGCCGAGTACTATACGAATTTCTGCTGATGGTTTTCAGATTATCATTTGCTGTTTCTGAATTGAGAGAAAGTCTGTTTTTTTTTTAATTAAATGGGGCGAGCTAAGAAATTCTTCTTGATTAGGGTTCAGAGTTTGACTTTGGGTTACTTTACTGCAACGATGAAATCTTACCTTTTTCATTAACATTGTCATTTACCTCTATGATGTCATGGAGATCGCTTGAGATTTGAGAACCTTAAACTGTGAATTCTGGAAAAACCAATCACTGAATAACTGAGAACCACTTCTGTGGTCCTCCGATCACACAAAGGTATTCGACTGTCTAGTGTCTACTATTCCATTTGAGTTCATCCGACAAAGATAATACACAAATGTAGTCCACTGTCCAAAGGTTCCATTTTAGCTCGTCTCACAGATAATAAAGTTTCTTTATTGAGCGTGCGTTTAAAATTTAATTGCTCAGATCCACCCCTGCTGATTCACCAACATCAAAATTAAATGATATTCCTTCATAGGAAACTGTTAACCTTACAAAGGATAAAAGTGAAGACTGCCTGTAAAATTAAATGTTCCAACTAACTTAACAATCATTGCTTATTTCGAAAGATTATCTTTGTGAAATGTCAGAGTAAGTATTGTTTTGTTATGAACTTACCCATATAGAATACTTTCTCAACCTGTTGTAGTAACTAGTAATCATCGTCAATGTATTTCGGTTTTGTCTGTTAGGTGTATGTTGTTCTTTCTGTTTCTTTTCTTGTTTCCAGCTTTGACATTTCTTCATGTTGCCTTCACAATAATGTGGTATTGGTTGTTGTAGAGTCCCCACCCAAAGTACTCATCCAGTGAAAAGTGATAGCTCAGGATGACAGATGCCAGCCCTATGTCAGATTCTTCAACTGATGCAGATACTGAAGATAAAAGCTCCAGGGTACATCAAAATGCACCCAAATTCTCCATATTGATTTTCTTAGTGGTGGTTTCTTAACTCCTTTGTGATTTTCTTAACTCCTATGTCAAGCGACATGTAGCTATATGCAATATTTGAGCATAATAGATTATTTAGAAAAATACAAAATAGAACATGGATTACTAATTTATCATATTAGTATCTATTTCCAATAAAATAAGATTATCAGCAAGCATTGATCTGATTCATTTGATTGTTATATAAAGAAATGAAAAAAAAGTCATGACGAAAAAAGTAAATTATGAAAAGAAGTAAATAAATGACGAATGAGAAAAAGGGATAAAGAAAGAAGAAATGGAAGGAAAACTTGGAAGCCAGTGATTTATCTCTAGTTTTTTTCTTTCTTTATTCTGTTTGGGGGTTTACTTTTTTAAGTGTTTAGGAGAAAAGAAAATGAGTTGTGTAGCTGGGTCCGAATGAATTTGGTGTAAAATCAATTCTGGATGTCGCCATGGAGCATGCTATTCAATGCCTGATGCTCTTCAGGAGAGGTGACTAGCCATGGCAAGTATTTTCCACCGTTGGAATGCCTAAGCGTTGTCTGGCCATCGTCTAGATGATGTCATGGCAACCAAATTGATTACTTGATGGCACTTAAAAGCCATGAACTTGTTTCCTAGTCTTTCAGTATGCTTTGGTTTTCCTTTTATTCTATTAAATGAAATGACGCATTTTTTACTAGCTTTCGGTTTTCTTTCACTTAATCTATGTCGTGATCAGATATTAAAGAAATTTATGTGGCCGAGGATTGTTTCCAGTTTCCTTTCTAGTTGGTCTAGAAGCTTTTTTCCTTTGATTGGAGATAATGATTACCAATTTATTTCTGTTGATTACAGTTTCAAAATGGTCAATTAGTGGGTTCTGATGGCAGTGACAAGACTAAAGATCAAAAGGTTTACATGCATTTCAAATTTTCAATACGAGCAAGTAGTTTAAAACTCAACTGGGTTGAGAATCTCTAATATTCTTGTGTGTGCAGACACTTCGTAGGCTTGCTCAAAACCGTGAAGCTGCAAGAAAGAGCCGCTTAAGGAAGAAGGTGATTTCCTTTCTCAAGTTGTTGCTCATAATTTTTGCATCTTCCAATATTTAAAATTGTTTCACAGTTGAAATAACTATTTTACTTGTTACTGTAAAATACATGGAGTATAATGTACCTTTGATATATATATATATATATAGAGAGAGAGAGAGAGAGATAAGAGATCGAATACAAACTTCTTCCAATTTACAAACTACAAACTCATATTGGCCATCCGATGAATTGATCTAAAGGCTATCGGTGCACGATGATATTTTGATAATAAAACCGAACTATTTTCAGAAGCAGCACTTTGGACGTTAATATGCAATTGCTTATTTCATTGCAGAGTAATATACAACACTTTGAACGTTATTATGCAATACAAATAACGTAAAGATGCATCATACAAATATTTGGACAATAAGCACTGTTTGTACCTGATCCGCCCCTATATATATTTATAGAGAAAACTTAATCTACTATAAATCTTTTTGGTGGAACACTTTGCAAAATCTGAAAGTAATATGATAATGAAGAAGCAAGCTTTTGTGGACATTGGCACCTTGCTTCAGTGAAATGAAAAAGTTCTTTTATGATGCCTTTGTTGTCATACCTCTATTTTATGAACTGCAGGAAAATAGCACCAATAAAATTAAATGAATTATGATGTGTAATTTATAGCATAAGCTTCTTCGATAGAAGCGAGTACTTCAAATAATGTGACAACCGTGAATTAGAATTAGTTTTGGACTATCGCTAATGTGAGTACTTGAGTGTGTCCTTGTGTTCGCATAAATTCTCTTTTGGCATTTGAATTGTCAGATTTAGGGAAAAATAAAGGCGTTTGCCAAAATTGTTACTTCTTGGGTAATATGTTTTTGGAGACCTGAAATAATGTGTGGACAAATTTTCATGCGACTTCTTTTCAGAACTATTTTCCTGGATTTGGAAGTGGTCTCAGCGGGTAGCTGGGAACCAGCAGTGACAGTTGGGAAGTAGTGTGGGAGAGAAAGTTAAAGTTTGATTTATTTTAGTTTTTTAGAAGGAAAACTGCTTATATTAATATTATTAGGATTCAGATCGTTACATCAAACTCCAAGAGACCAACAGTGACAACAATTATCCATAACCCACTATTACTATCAACCTTACGGCTAGACTTAGAAAAAATAAAATGTGATCCTATATTTGTCCAATGAAAATATGGGAGTCTCATTTTTTACATTATTCCTTAATATGTCTTTTAATTCCCTTGGTTTTGTTGCCTATATTATGATGATATTCGACTCTTCAACTCATTCGTTTCATGTGGCATTGCTGATGTAGGCATATGTGCAACAGTTAGAGAACAGTAGAATAAAGCTCACTCAACTCGAGCAGGAGCTTCAGCGCGCTAGACAACAGGTACTTTGAGCACTTAATTTGGAGTTCTATTTGATCTTCAAAATTTAAAATGGAAGTGAAAAGTAAATGACGGCACTACCAGTGTTTGTAACTGAGCATGTGTAATTGATGAAGCATTGTCTTTTTTCAATGAAGGGAGTATTCATTTCAAGTTCAGGAGATCAATCACAATCTATGAGCGGAAGTGGTATGTGTACTTTTTTATCCAAGTCCTAACAATATCTCATTTTGGGTTTTATGTTCTGATTTTCCCCACGAAGTGCAGACTGTAAATACTTGCCTGTTATTCTGTTAATGCAAAGTATAGAAATATATTTTAATAATGTGGTTATTCTTGAAAGTTGAAACCCCTATATGGAAAACATAAGGCTAGAGACTAATAAGAATCTAATTAAAGCTGAAATAGAAAATTATAATGATGATGGTGGTGGTGATGATGATAATGATAATAATAATAGGAAATTACTACTAACTAATTAATGATGATGGTGGCATAGTAGTCAATGGTGAGATATGGCGCGCGCCATATGCGCCATCGCCATGAAAAAATGGTCGTCGCCATAGGTCATATGCGCTATGCCGCTATTCGTATATGCATCATCGCCATGCGCCATGAAAAATGCCTTTGAGCCATGGTGATCGTCATGCGCCATGACAACTATGGATGGTGGTGACAATAATTATAATAATAGTAATGGATATGCCTGTATCAGATTTCTGCTTTTGAATTCATGTTACGAACTTTTTTCTTCTTCTAGGATCCATGACATTTGATTTAGAATACTCGCGGTGGACGGATGAACAAAACCGAAGAATTAGTGAGCTAAGAGGAGCTGTTAATGCCCATGCTGGTGATGTTGAACTTCGCATTATTGTCGACAGCATCTTGGCACACTATGATGACCTTTTCAGGATAAAAGCGGATGCTGCAAAAGCTGACGTCTTCCATATTTTATCAGGCATGTGGAAAACTCCTGCTGAAAGATGCTTCCTTTGGTTGGGTGGGTTTCGTTCATCTGAAGTCCTTAAGGTGAGAGGCCCATACTTCATTTGACCCCTCAAACAGTGAACGTGCGAGTAGTGAGTGTGTGGATTTTCTTTTGCATGCTTCCTCTTTCTTGATAACATCAAGTCTCTTTGCAATTTTGAAGTGGATATAGCAGTTGTCATCACAACTTTTAATGATCCTTTTAATGCAACACTCTTTTTGCTTTTAGCTTTTCAACTAGTTTCCAGATACTTTAGTCAGGAGTGTCAGGTTACATGCTTTGTAGGGGTACATGACTGTAACAACTATATCTCAATTCATCACCATGGGATGATATTGTCCATGCAAGTGGAAATATCCTAAGGTGATAATGGTTTTGGAAATTGGTGTCACTATTCATTCATACAAAGGTTATGACAGGAAGCATCACGATTCAGACATAGAGCTTTGCATCTCGTTTAATCTTTTTTGCATGAATTTATAGTGGACTATTCTTTTAGAGCTCTATATGTTTACAAGAAATATCTTCCAAGAAAATGTTTTCTGGATATTCTTGATGAAGCCATTTTCCCAAAGCAGTATTTTTCTATTTTTTGTGTGATAAGCATGACACTCCCTCTGACCCTAAAACAGCCACATACTTTCCTTTATGGTTCGTCTCTAAATTATCGTCATTTTCTTTTAAGGAAACCATTATGTGAATATGTGGTTCATAATATTTCTCTCTAAATAAATTTCAACCACATTTTTCTTTTTCTTAATCTACGTGCCTGGTTAAATTGCATGTTTAGTTAAGTATAGAACAACTTATTTTTGTGGAAAACGTTTTCCGCAACTTATTTCCATGCAGCCAAACGGAGCCTAAATTTCATTTCTCCGGGCCCAACTAGTTGAGATTTAAAAAGGTGATAATGGAAAAAGGTGATAGTGATGATAATCAGATGATGTAGTACTTTCTATCCAAATGCTCCCTGACGTGTTTTCTTGTGTAGTTGCTAGTAAACCAGTTAGAGCCATTGACGGAGCAGCAGTTAACAGCCATCAACCACCTGCAAGAGTCATCTCAACAGGGGGAAGATGCCTTGTCCCAAGGAATGGACTCGTTGCAGCAATCTTTGGCCGAGACACTGATTGGGACTCTCAGCTCTTCAAGCTCGTCAGGGAATGTCGCAAATTATATGGGTCAAATGGCAATGGCAATGGGAAAGGTTGGAGCTCTTGAGGGTTTTGTATGTCAGGCTGATAAGCTCCGGCAGCAGACGTTGAAAAAGCTGCTCAGCATTTTGACCACTCGCCAATCAGCCCGAGCTTTTCTTGCCATCAATGACTACTTCTCCCGCCTCCGTGCACTAAGCGCTCTATGGCTTGCACGGCCTCGCGAATAACTTTTATTTAAAAGGAAAGATACAAAGAAAGATTGCTGTGGCGCACTTGTACATGAAAATTCTTCGTCTGGAATGATGATGATGTGCTGCATTAATTTATCACAGTTAACTGAGATTTTGAGGTGCGGGGTTATAGCTGTTGACTTGTTCATCTTTGCAGATGCTGTATGAATGTAAGTCTTGCATATTCTCTTATATTTGTAACATAGATAGATAGATGTGTACCTTATGGTTTGCCTGAGTTGGTGAATCGTCATGTCAAATTTTAGCTTATAGTAACAATGATTTAATATCCTCTTTGGTCAGTTAATTTAGAGTTGCGCTGTTGCTAAATTCCATTTGACTATTTGAGAAGATGCTTTCTTGATGCATTTTATTATTACAATTCAAGGAGAATTAAGCTCATTTTTTCAGAAGGTTAGATCTCTTTGGGTTTTGTCTGCTTGATGATGTTGATAATTTGTCTGAACTTCAGATGGTTAAAGGGTGGACTTTTCTATGCCATTTGTCCAAATATGTTGCTCTGCTTAATTAAATTAGTTAGTTAGGTATATCATATCATGGGGAATTTACCCTTTTATAAAAATGGTGTGAAACACACTAAGAGGTCCTTTTGCATCTATCTTGCAACAAGAAATATTAAACGCATGTTCTTTTTAGGTCCATTTGATTCAAAAAATGTGGCATGACTTTAGGAGTTTATGAATGTTATAAAGCGTGGGTTCCAAATCCAGATCAGAATTAGGCGGGTATACTGATCGGGCCGTCGCTTGTTCTTTCAGTACGAAACAATTCCTCCAAAATGGGTCTTGAAGTGGAACTAACGTGTTTCGTTGTTTATGACACACTAAAAACCTGCTTCGTCCCGAAATTAGAATCGGTTTATCGTATTCAGGTTATGACCCCCTTACTTGAAACTAGCCTGTGTCCACCCATAATAGGAATGTGATAAATGTATTTTCGCCCAACCTAACAAATTAGGCGAGTATCACATCCCAAGAACGCCTTCAAGAATGATGTGGTGTGCAAGAAATTGATATTGCCCCAAATCAAATGACCTAAGGAGCAATTCTAAAATCTGTCCCAAACCCATATGTATCTTTTACCCCGTATTATACCTAATGAAATTATTATAAGAATTAAAAGTGTAGATTTGGGCAAAAGTAGTGCTATAGAGACATACTGTATTGCCTTATGGTGTAAACTATCTTTGTGAAGTTTCTATTGTACCCATGTCTTACAATGAAACATATTTATGCATATAATTTAAATGTATATTGTACACCATCACATAACCAAAAGGACCAGTTACAACATTTTTTGGATAAATCCGAATTTACTTCTTATAGGATCCAATGGTTATCCAAAAAATGTACAATAACCTTACAGCTATATAATAATTATAAATGTATATATAGCTGAATGTATTTGTGAAATTTTTAAAAATAAAATTAAGATCTCGTGTATCATCTAACTTTTGTAAAACAATAAATTTTCCTGAAACATGTGGCAAATAATTTTATTGAATCATGAGAATATGAGATCCAGAAAAAATGGAGGAAGGGGGTATAAATATTGGTGAATAAATGAAGAACATTACATCCTTACCATTCTCTTCCATCTCTATCCTCAAAACCTTAAGGTCTCACCCCCAAATCCCAATGGATCTCCATGGCCATAGGGAGGTAAGTAATGCATACTGATAATGATTAGTTTTGAGAATCAATTAATAATAATTATATATAATTACTTGTTATAATGCCCAATTAATTTCTTTCGTGTAGTTTGACAGCCTTATCAATGTTGTGATTACATTATCTGATAATTGTTTCTCCTTTTGCAGCTCCTGCGGCTCAATAGAATACCTATTGTTTGCATGAATAAATTCACCGTTTCGAAATTTATCATCAATCTCTTTTAAGAATATGGTTTGCAATTAATATTATTTTCTCATCTGAATTAATTTTCGCAACTTTCATTTTCTTAAGAATTCTACCAAGTCGGAGTGGAAATCTGAAAAGGAATTTAGAGGAAACAGTGTTGTATTAATTGAAGTTTTAGCTAAAATTTGGTATGAGTAAACTAGACTTGATGAATAAGATGATATAAAAAAATTCATCAAAAAATTTAACCGGGAACCACCCCAAATGACGACGGCCGGACAGAGCCTCCTAAATAAGGGCTTATTTGACTTTTTTTTATTAGTACATCAGTACATTGGCCTATTTGCACCTTTTCCCGTATATTAAATATAACTATGTCGTTTATTCTCTTCCATACAAGAGAGTTAACTTCATCATATTAGCATATAGCCCAAGGCATCCAAGCATATAACCTTGTATTAGTAAAAAAAATTAAAAAAATCAGATTTTGAAAATTTACAATGAGACAAATTTAGTAATATTTTTTTCAAAATAATATATTAATACCTCAATAAATAAAATGTAGTCAAAGTAGAACATATGAATAGTGTAAAATTTAGAATGTTGCACTTATTTAAGAACAGAAGTAGTAGTAGTATATTATTATTGGATCCTCCGGGGTTTCGTACGTATATGGCCACATGGGTATAGTGCAAGTAGCATTAAGAGTTTATGTAGTGAAAGCCTTGCCAGAATTTCCAGATTTCTTACTTTTCTTAGCAAATCTAGTAGTACGTCCTGGTCAGTGGGGAAGCCGGGGATTTGATCTAAAGGATGTCGAGTTTAAGGAAATTATTTTACGGAGGCCAATGTTTAATATGTTATCGTATTGTTTTTCAGCATATGCATATTCATACACACACATTTCTTTTATTCCAGGGGGCGTCTGGGGGAGGGATGCTGGGGAGCCTGGGGTAATCTAGGCTGAAACTCACTTTATTGAGTTTCGAACTCGAGACCTCCCTTAAGGGAGAGTGAGTTGTCGGTCAGCTGAACTGGACCGCTTCCTTATTTATACACATATGTGTGTGTAAATTAAAAAAAATTAGGGAGGCAAGGCCTCCTCCAATTACCGAGGCCCGCCTTGGCTCCACCCCTGATCTGAAAGGTAAAGTTGTTCGGTTACCGAGAAGGGTAATTATATAAACAAATTTCAACTTATTTTTGAACGAAGCTCCTTTCAAAATAAAAATCACAAACAAATTTTCATACAATAGAAAGGAAATTCATTAGTAAAACAACTCTAAATTAGTTAACCACAAGCAATGTGATTATGCGGAGTATAATACCCCCATAGTTCTTAGTAGCATTTAATTGTAATAATGGGGACCTAGAAAACTAGTCCCACTAAAATCTACGCCTTAATCATTCGTATATGCACCTAGAATATCAGGTCCTATTTTGTGTGTCCTACTTTAATTTGGTTCAATTATTAATAAAGTGATTGAAAAAGTAAAGATTATGATTGAGATTTGAGTATAAAGTGAAATGATGTAGATAACATATTTCTTTCCAAAAAATGAAATATGACACTTATTTTGGGACAATCCAAAAAGAAAAGTAAGACGTATAAAACGGGGCGGAAGGGGATAATAATTTATCAGTGCAGACATTGCCTAACATGCTCATAAAATGTATGCTGTTATGAGAAATTGAAAACTCAAGTTCTATTTCATTATTACTTCCTATTAAGCAATACTAATACTATTAATATCTTAATAATCATAACAACTGCAGAGAAGGGGAGGGATGTCAGTGCCACAATTTGGGGGATGGGATAAGGGGCCAGGGAGAGGAGAAGGTGAGAGTATAAGTTACACAGTAGTTTTCTCTCAGGCCAGAGATAACCGGAAACAACATAAGACTGAGTTGCCTCGTTACAGCCTGGACAACAATAACCACAATGATGATCTTCTTCATGGCAGCCGCAGCCGCCACAGGAAGCATGACCACCACATGTCTGTTCCTCCTCCTATTAAGGTACTTAACAATTTTCTTGTGTTTTTTAAACATATTATAATAAGGTGCGGACAATAGTAGAGACCCCGGGGGCTACCGCCCTCCCAACAAAAAAATTAGTTTATATATATACGAAAAATAATTTCCGCCGTCTCAAAAAAACAATTTTCGCCCCCAAAAAATATTTTCGCCCCCAAGATGAATTTTCTGGGTCCGCCCATGATTATAATACTCCGTATAATTAATAATCTCATCTTCAATTCATTAGCATGCACATGGTGTAAAATTACCTCAAAAGAGGCATGCAAATGATAATTTCGAGGCAACGTACGTTTTGGTGGGTATAGGGCAGTGGCAGATCTAGCACTTGCAATTTGGGTGTTCAAATTACTTTAAAATTTAGAATTAAGAATTGTTATTGGCTCCTTTGAGTAATCAAAATATCAAGGATTTTCCATTATACTTTCAAACCTTCTTGGTTTAAATAAATAGAACTGATATTAATTAGTAATACTTACATAAATGAAGTAAATTTTTCTCAATAAATCCTTGAAATCAACAGAAACTATTTATGCAAAAATCATACTCGGATTCAACAGATAAATTAAGCAAAAAATTAAGCAAATGTTGAGCAAAACACCAATAAATTGAGCAAAAACTTTAACGTCTTTAAGCAAAATTATATTGTCGACATCAAGAGTTCGGACATTCAATTTGTATAAAATGTTTTCAATCCACTACACCTGACATCATATATTCCAATACTTTCAAGGCAACTAGGCAAGTAGTGACTAGTGGGAAATGGGAATTAGAAAATGAATTTATAAATTTCATACGGAGTACTAGATTTACAAAAACTGTTAGGATTGGAAAATTCTTCTATTCATAACCAGAACAGAATTACAATAGGAGGAGCAACTCTCTCACTCAACTATTACAAAAAACCAACCCTCTCATATACTCACACTCTATGTATATTGCTCTCACTCTTTCACTCCGAATTTTGATGCATTTGATCAAGCTAGAACCACCCTATTTATAGGGAAATGCTGGGAGACAATTGCATGCAGCCCATATAGCATCCCATGCCTTCCCATGTCTTCCCATGCCTTCCCATACCTTTTAATTGATGGAGGATGGAGCTTCATGCCATGGAGTGGGTGTGTGTATGGGAGCTGCAGCAATCCTACAAATCTCCCCCTCCAGCTTTTTCCGTAATTCTCTCATTCCAATGATGCTTGTACATAGCTTGTGCTTCTCGTGTGGCACCACTTTAGTTAGCATGTCTGCCGCATTTTTGTTTGTGTGTATCTTGGAGAGCTTTAGTTCATCTTCCTCAATTGCTTCTCTAAGCCAGTGATATCGAACATCGATATGTTTTGTGCGTGAATGATACATCGAGTTCTTGCTAAGATCCATAGCACTCTGACTATCACAATGAATGATGTACTCCTCTTGAGGATAGCCCAACTCTTGGAGAAAACGTTTCAGCCACTTGAGCTCCTTCCCGGCTTCAACAGCGGCAATGTATTCAGCTTCTGTCGTAGACAATGCTACACACCTCTGCAACTTGGACTGCCATGAGACGGCTCCCCCTGCTAGTGTGAATATGTAACTTGAAGTAGATTTTCTACTATCAAGATCTCCAGCCATATCAGCATCTGTATAACCTTCCAAGATTGGTTTCGCTCCTCCGTAGCACAAGCATAGCTTTGATGTACCCTTCAGATACCTAAGTATCCATTTGACAGCTTCCCAATGTTCTCTTCCTGGATTTGACAAGTACCTACTTACAACATCAACCGCGTGAGCAATATCAGGTCTTGTACACACCATTGCATACATCAAACTTCCTACTGCTGAAGAGTAGGGTACTACTTTCATCATCTCCTTTTCTTTCTCAGAAGAAGGACAACTTTCCTTACTCAACTTGAAGTGATTGGCCAGCGGAGTGCCTACAGGCTTGGCACTATCCATGTTGAACCTTTTAATCACGCGTTCAACATACTCTTCTTGTGATAAGAACAACTTCCTTGCCTTCCGATCACGAACAATTTTCATGCCCAAAATTTGTTGCGCCGGGCCTAAGTCTTTCATATCAAAAAACTTAGACAAATCTTGCTTCAAGTTGTTGATGAGGGACACATCTTGGCCTACTATCAACATATCATCCACATAGAGCAGAAGGATGATAAATTTTCCATCTGGGAACTTCTTCAAGTACACGCAATGGTCTGCCACTGTTCTCCTGTATTGGTGCTTCACCATGAATGAGTCGAACTTCTTGTACCATTGCCTCGGGGCTTGCTTGAGGCCGTACAGGCTCTTCTTTAACCTGCAAACAAGATGTTCTTTCTTTGGAACTTGGAAACCTTCGGGTTGCTCCATGTATATTTCCTCTTTCAGATCACCATGGAGAAATGCTGTTTTCACATCCATCTGTTCAAGTTCAAGATTTAGACTGGCAACCAACCCGAGTACCACTCGAATCGACATCATCTTCACAACCGGCGAAAAGATCTCATCAAAGTCAATTCCCTGTTTTTGTTGGAATCCTTTGACCACGAGTCTTGCCTTGTGCTTCACAATATTTCCCTTGACATCTTTCTTCACCTTAAAAACCCATTTGTTTTTCAAGGCTTTCTTTCCTTTGGGAAGTGGCACCAAGTCATAAGTTTGGTTCTTCTGCAAGGATTTCATCTCATCTCCCATGGCCTCCCACCAATTGGACTTGTCTTGATGAGATTGAGCTTCTCGAAAGCTCTCTGGCTCCCCCTCGCTGGTAAGAAGGATCCATTCAGATGTCAGGTACCTTCTTTGTGGAACAGTACCTCGCGTAGAACGTCGAAGTTGTGTGTTGTCAGTGTGGCCTTCAGATGAATGCTCCCCCTGCTCAGGAATCCCTCCATCTTGAACATTATCAACAACTACTGGGCCATCATTCACTGGTTCAGTATTATCACTCATTTCCTCATTGTTGAGAGGAACGTGTGATACTACAGGAACGTCTTCAGGAGCATGAGAGAGATGTTGTTTGTTGTGTTTTGGAGTAAAATCATGAAATTGGGATTCATGAAACACTACATCTCTGCTTCGAATAACTTTCTTCATTTTGGGATCCCACAACCGGTATCCAAATTCTTGATCTCCATAGCCGATGAAGATGCATGGGTTCGACTTAAGATCAAGTTTTTGCCTCAACTCTTTGGACACATGTGCAAAGGCCTTGCACCCAAACACTTTCAAGTGAGAGTAAGAAATGTCTTTTCCTGACCATTTCTTCTCAGGAACTTCAAAGTTTAAGGGAACTGAGGGTGACCTGTTTATAAGATAGCAAGCTGTCAACACAGCTTCGCCCCAGAATGGCTTTGGTAATGTAGCCATACTGAGCATGCACCGAACTTTCTCCACAATAGTTCGATTCATTCTTTCGGCTACACCGTTGTGTTGTGGGGTCCGTGGCACCGACTTCTCATGCCTGATTCCATGTTCAGCACAATATGCTAAGAACTCCCGGGAAGTGTACTCGCCTCCGTTGTCAGAACGAAGGCACTTCAGCTTCTTTCCTGTCTCTCTTTCTACCATAGTATGAAATATTTTAAAGCGATCAAATACTTGATCCTTAGTTTTGAGACAGTAAGCCCATACCTTTCGTGACGCATCATCAATGAACGTCACAAAATATCTGCTGCCTCCAAGTGACTCCTCTTCAATGGGTCCACATACATCAGTGTGGATAAGATCGAGTATTTCAGAATGATTCTTTCTAGTGGAATTGAAAGAAACTCGATGTTGTTTCCCAAATAGACAGTGATCGCAGGGATCCAGAGCAACATCTTTATTAATAAAGATTGCTTCCTTCTTTGCAAGAGTTGTCAGTCCTTTCACGCTCATGTGGCCTAACCTCCGGTGCCACAGATTTGGTGATGTCTCTCCTTGAACAGCATTGAGACTTAGAGGATACAACTTTACATGGGTTTTGTAAAGAGTACCACAGATATGACCTCTTGCAATAATCATAGAGCCTTTAGATAATTTCCACGCACCTTCTTTGAACTGGCTTTCATACCCCTGCCGATCTAGAGCAACTCCTGAGATAAGATTCAATCTCAGATCTGGAACATGCCGAACATCTTTCAACACAAGTGTGCAGCCAACACTTGTTTGAATGTGCACATCTCCAATGCCAACAATGTTTGAGAAACTCGTGTTTCCCATCTTCACAGCACCATGGTCTCCGGAATTATAAGTTGCAAATAGACTTTGGTGCGGAGTGGCGTGAAATGATGCAGCGGTATCAATCACCCACTCAATATCATGCGTACCTACGTGTAGGCATGCTTCTTCTCCGCAAGTAACAAGTGCAATGTCCGGTGCCATGGTGACCATGGTCTCACCATCTTCCTTGCTTGAACTTTGACTCGTCTGAGGCTGCTCCCGTAGAAACTTTCGGCATTCCCTCTTTCTGTGCCCGTAATGACCACAATGGTTGCAATAGCCCTCGAACCAAGTATTGGTATCGACGGACTTTCCCCGCTCTTGTGATCTTCCTCGAGCTTGAGATCTCCCTCTACTTTGACCTCGAGCTCTGCCTCTGCCTCGACCTCGTCCTCTACCTCCATTTCTGCCTCCCCCTCGCCTGCTGGTTTCCGAGACGAGAGCATAAGACTGATCAGTCCCAGCTTCCTTCCTTCGTGCTTCCTCATTCATCAAGGCGTCCGTGACCATCTGCATAGTCACGGTACCATTTGGGGCAGAATTACTGAGAGTAACAACAAGAGTCTCCCAATTATCAGGTAGAGAGCTAAGCAAAAGTATTGCTTGTTCTTCATCTTTGAGGACCCATCCGGTGGTGCTCAATTGATTCACAAGATCCTGGAACTGGCTCGTGTGTTCCGACACAGAAATGCCACCACGTAACTTGTGGTTCACTAATCGTCTCATCAGCAGCGTTTTATTCCGAGCAGTTTTTGCTTGGTACATGCTACTAAGTTTCTCCCATAGTGTGTGAGCACTTTGCTCTTGAGAAACATGATGGAACACGCTATGATCAATCCACTGTCGGATTTGTGCGACAGTTTTTCTGTTCATCTTAGCTCATTCTTCATCCGTCTTTTTATCTGGTTTGACGCCATTATTATCAAGAGGATCTGCTAAATCTTTCAAATTTAACAAATCCTCCATCCGTGGTTTCCACATGTTGTAATTTGTGGAAGTGAGCGCAATCATTGTATCCGAAGATGACTTTTCCATGATAAATATGTACACTTATTCCCGTACCTCAATTTGGAAGCTGAATTAGGCCAAACGGAGCACACCGTTGAATCCGGAATGGCCGAAAATGGTGGGGACCGGTCTCACCTCTTCAAGAACCGGCCGGGAAGAGCGTGAACCAGAGTATTGAACCACAAGCCGAACCGGACCGGTTCTGGCCCAAACCAGTGGGCAGCCAACCAGGCTGATGACGTGGCACCACCTGGACAGTGACGTGTGATGACGTGGCAGATGACGTGGCAGATGACGTGGCACAGCAGGTGGTCCAACAGGTCGGCTGTCGGTGACGTGGCGATGACTGGGCGATGACGTGGCGATGACGTGGCGATGACGTGGCGTGCTGACTGGTCTTCTTCTCCGGCGAGGTTGCTGCCGGACTGGAGTACTGCAGCGGCTATGACTGGCAGGAGAGAGAAACTTTGACCGGACGTTTGGAGGCCTTCTGGTGGTCAAAAAATTCCGAAAAATATATTTTTGGAATCCTCAGAACGAGAGCTTTCTAATGGTGGCCTCAAAACAAGATTCTGGAACAAAAAAATTTTGACCAAAAATTCGGGCAGAATGAAGAAATCTGGGTTTCTGGATTAAACCTGGCTCTGATACCACTTGTTAGGATTGGAAAATTCTTCTATTCATAACCAGAACAGAATTACAATAGGAGGAGCAACTCTCTCACTCAACTATTACAAAAAACCAACCCTCTCATATACTCACACTCTATGTATATTGCTCTCACTCTTTCACTCCGAATTTTGATGCATTTGATCAAGCTAGAACCACCCTATTTATAGGGAAATGCTGGGAGACAATTGCATGCAGCCCATATAGCATCCCATGCCTTCCCATGCCTTCCCATACCTTTTAATTGATGGAGGATGGAGCTTCATGCCATGGAGTGGGTGTGTGTATGGGAGATGCAGCAATCCTACAAAAACTAGGTCTAACCACTAACGTGGAGTGGAGGCGTCAGGCATGATCGCGAGAAGAGGATGTCATGGTGGAACTGTTTACCTTCAACCCGTGGATTAAGGAGACTAGAGTACCGTTGGTGGACGGATGACGACGGAAACCATTGCAACTCGCGAGATGGAGAAAATCCAAGGCTGGGAATCTGGAGCTCGTGACTAGGGAGATGGAACTTTCGACAAACGATAGAGCACCGTCGGGCGTCGGGCGGCGGCAACAGGAATGCTAAAGCAGAGCAAAGATGTGCGGTGGCCACTAGAGTCTGAAGGAGACAACACCCTACCAGCATCTACGACAGTTCGAAATTTTTAGAAAAAACTAAAATGACGTATTTATGGTAAAGAAAAGAGTGAATTCCCTAAATAGGACTAAAAAGTGGAAAAATTGCACAAATAGGACTACATTTTTTAAATTCCCTTAATAGGACTATTTATGTGTGTTTGGACAAATATACCCTTGTAACTTGTGAAATGTTTTAATTAATAATAAAATCATAAAAAAATTAATAAAAATCGAAAAAAATACTAAAAATCGTAAAAAAATAATAGAAAATTAATAAAAATATTTTTTTAAAAAAATAAAATTTTTTTAAAAAAAATAAAAAAAAATAAAAAAAACCATAAAATTAAAAAAAACACATTACCACCCCTGCCACCCCCAACACCACCATCTCCCATCACCGGACAAATATATGCCAACATTTTAAATAATGCCATAATGATGGCATAATCAATGAAAATGTTGGCATATTGAAGAGTAATTATGCCATCTTTTTGGCATTTTCAGAAAAATATGGCATTTTTTTACCAAAAGTGGAAGAAATTTCACCAATCGAAGGTGGTGGCGGCGGGAGGCGGCGGGAGGCGGTGAGAAAGGTATCCATAATTTTTTTCATTTTTTATGGGTTTTTACTATTTTTTATTATTTTTTTAAAAAAATTAAAAAAATAAAAAAATAAATTTTTTATTTTATAAATGTTTTATAATTTTTTTTTTTAATTTTTTTACGTTTTTTAAATATTTGTTTACTTTTTTTGTGATTTTATTATGAATTAAAGCATTTCGTTATGAATTAATACTCTTAGGGGTATTTAGGGTAGAAAATCAATGTTTAGTCCTATTTAGGGAATTTTAAAAATAGTAGTCCTATTTGTGCTTTTTAGGAACTTTTTAGTCCTATTTAGGACAATTTCCGTAAAGAAAACTGATTTTTTTGGGTGTTCATGTGCATAGTCTTGAACAGCACTGGATCCGCCCCTCGTATAGGGGCTCCAAATTTCAAATTTTTAAATTGTTAGGGTGAAAAAAATGTGTAAAAATTTTTCAAAACAAAAAAATCAATATATAGCCCAATGTACACCCTCAGATGGTTGAAGTGCGATGAGTTCTTAAAGTGAAAAAGAAGAAATGTAGTCTTTAAGTATATGCCGGAGTATAAATATACTCAACAACCTTTATTCTCATATCACTAAATATGTAAAGTTGAAACAAATATGCATAATATAGTGTGTAGAGCTTGTTTGATAACAGTGAAATTGGCTGAATCGGTGGATTCTGTTGAAATTTATGAAGTTCTAGCTGAAGTTCTGTATTGGCTAATTCTGTTGATTTACGAAAAAAATTATATTTAAAATATTGTTTATTAATAAAATAAAGAAAAAATTATATGAAAAATAGTTAAAATGATCATCAACACTAACTTCAGCCAATATAGCCAGAAAAGTAACTTTAACCTTATTTTTTCTTATTATTACACAATTCAGTGCGTGAATAATAAATTACGTATTTGGTGAAAACGTTGGTTTATAATTCTGATAAGTTGAAAAACATGGTCACCAAACACTCTTGTAGAGTTCTAGAAATTTTCCAATAATTGGTAGGTGACCATGTCCTCATACTTGGGTGAAAGACATATTGAGAGTTGCTTGGTGTACACATTTTTTGTACACGTTTTGTGTACACCCCCTAGTTGTCTGTCCAATGCAGCTTCTTAAAGAATTGCCTAGTTGGACAGACAACTAGGATGGGTGTGTACCCAAAACGTGTACAAACTACAAACAGTTTTTTCAAGACATATTTGTTACTCATACAACTTTATATCTTATATTGGTCTTGTTGTTTTTGAGTTTGCATTTGTTTTTGCAAGTGATGTGTTTAAGGATGTTTTTATTTGGACTGTAATTTGTCCCAGACCAGACCAGACCAGTTCAGACCAGACCAGTTCAGACCAGACCAGACTTGGATAGTTATAAAAATACAAAGAAACCAGACCAGACCAGACCAGTTCAGGCCAGACCAGATCAGACCAGACCAGACCAGCAAATTACAGTCCAAGTAAAAACATCCTAATTGGGAATTTTTCCCTAAAATATTACTCTGTATTAAAACAAAAACATACGGAGTAGATAAAAGTGTAACTAAAATTACTATACATGTTCAATCATTACAGTTTAAAATTTAATACAACATTAGTCACTGAAAGATTCTTCGTATGTCATTATCCCTTTAATTTCACCATTATATTTTTTTAAGAAACATTTCAATATGTGCCCTTGTTTTATATGATTGTGCAGAGGAGGAAAACGTGTCTCTCCTGGTTTAGTTGTTTTTGGGCTTGATGAAGTGCACCAAATTTGAAGATTGTCATATATGGCCTTTTCTGTATTTTACTCCAGTTTACATGAACACTGGAAGTCTAAATGTCATTATGATAACCAAATGTTCGAAATTTGGGCAGAGGTGTATATAATATGCTCCCTAATATAAATGTCCAATTCAAGCTCGATCTTGAGATTTTGAGTGATTTTCATTTGGCGAATTCGGTGCTCTCCAGCTTTGGACTAGTATATGCAGGGGATTGAGGTGTTTGGTAAATGGCGTTTGAGACGAAAAATGACGGCTTGACCGCTTTTAGCGTTTTCAATAAATAAAAAATGGGTTATTTGGTAAATTAAATAGCTGTTCGGCACTAGCGTTTTTGGACGGAAACGCTGAAATGGAAATGCTGCTAATAGGAGAGTTTTGGGTTGACGTTTTGAATAATGACGTTTCTTACTAATTTTATGGCGAAACAGCTAAATTACCAAACATCTTCTGAAAAACCCGCCAACTTATTCTGGTAGTCAAACCCGCTGACTCAATCTATATTGACAACCCGCTAACATAAACCGTTATCCGCTAATCGCTAACTGCTGAATGTCAAACACGTCCATGAGTTGCTTTTTGCAACAAAATCCTCAATTGATCAATTATAATCAAATTCTTTAAAGACGTACCCTTATACAGAAATCTAGGCAAAGTTGTTTTGTAGTGCTATGTCTAGAGAACAATAAGTCGATAATCACACCCACACGGGTAACTCAATGGTGATTGAGTGAGGTAGTTGGGTTGAGATCTCATCCTTGGGGTGGGGGATTCCACATATTTAGATTGTGGAGAACCCTAATCATAATCATGCTCCAAACCTCCCATCACTAGGGGGATGTCAAAAAAACCCGACCCACAATGACCCGCCCTGGCCCGAGACATTTGGGGCGGGTCCGCCCCGCCCCGTCTTGCAAATGGGGCGGTCCGCCCCGCCCCGCCTATACAATGGGGCGGGTCCGGGTATTAGAATTGACCCGTGCCGCCTCGACCCGACCCGACCCGCTCAATATATAAGTATACATTCTTTTTCTTAACTTATATTACAAATAAACTTCAACATACATATGTGTGTATACAATAAATCATAAATTCTTTGATCTTATAATATATGAATATATATTAGAATGAGATGGACGACGGATTATCAATGTCTTCTTTATATATAGAATTTTAATACATTTATTCAATTATTAATATAACTAATTAGATTAACTATTCAAGTTTGAGAAATCTTTCCTTAATTTTTGAAATTTTTAGCATATCATGAATTTGATTTAATATATTGATTTTTAATTATTATTTAGAGATAAACATTATGTAGATTCAATTGGTAACAACTTCCCACAAATAAAAATACAAACTAGCTAATTAGGTTGCGGCGGGGCGGACCCGCCCCGCCCCGCATGGGGCGGGTCATGGGTCAACAAGTTTGGACCCGTGCAGGTCACGGGGCGGGGCGGACCCGCCCCGCCAAGTCACGAGAAGGGTCCGGGTCTTGCAATACCCGCCCCGCCCCGACCCATTGCCATGCCTACTAGCATCACTGTCATGGATATGTGTTTCAAAGCTTTGACATAATATTACGACAAACTCCCAACTTAATGTAACACTAATTTGTCATCCTCAAGCACGCATCAATCAAGATAGCGATCAATTAGTGCACATGTTTTATTCTCTATTTTCTAAAAAATGATTGAATAATTAAAAATCGAAGTGATGAGACAAATTCTGTTTTTAGTATTTGTACCAACTACCAACTAAGGCATGTTATTTGGCTTATGAACTTCAACCCGCAATATCCCTTAAAGCATATTAAGCTAAGCTGGAATCCTAACTTGCTCATTATACTTTCAACTCCATTGAATATTTTATACCTTAATATTTTAAATAAGTATGGTAAAGGCCACGAAAACGCATGCCTCCATAACCCCTCATTATTACATGAAGCACTATTTCAAGAGCAATGGAAGTCACCAACTATATAATAGCCTAATATATTTAGGAATCGGTCCAATATATATTTAGCAATTTGCTTAATACTTAGTATCTATTTAGGAATACTTTGTATTTTGACAACTCTTCTATGTTGGGTTTGTTTTGGAAAATAAAGAAAATTAATTAAAATAAATTAATTAAATAAAATGACTAGAGAAAAACAAGAAAGGACATGAAGCAGAATTAGTCAAAGCTCGTGCTACGCACGATTTTCTTAAAACATATTTGTTGACTCCCACGGTGCTAGGAGCGTTGCAACAATCGTTTCCCAGGATACGATGACTACGAACTAATGTTTGAGAACACAAACAAAAGTTCCAGCGAATGAGAACACAGTATGAACACAGAGGGAATTTTCAGAATGCTAGCAGTGTGTTTTTGGAGGTGCAAAGGTGCTTGGAGTGTATGAGTTCGTTTAAAATCGTGTGTTGTTGCAAACCACCTGTCAGCCTTTATATAGGATGATTTGTTGTGTGTAAATGGTGAATTAATGGACCTGAACGATGGACATCAATGACCAGTCCGTTGGGCATTGAATCGTCCATTAAAAGATAAGAACGTTGGGCATTAATTGTTGTAATGTTTCAGAAGCGCGACAGAAGACCTCCACCAGAACAACACCCCGGGAGGGGTTCTGATCGGAGGCCAATCAGAAGACCCCTAGAGGGGTTCTGTCATCAGAGAAGACCCCTAGATCGTATCTCTTGAGAGATAGATTTTTGGATGACATTCGTGTCCGCAGGTCGCCCGCGCATGCAAGTCGCGGTTTTTCTTCTCCGAATTCGGGCGTGAGAGAGCCTTTACCCTTAGGAATCTTAACTCCTTAAGGGGGGGAGTCCCTTTATAAAGGGTAGCAAATCCCTTGGGTTTTCCGGTGTGGGAAATTAACACTAGAAACTCATCATTTTCCCAGATTTTCCATTCTAACGGGTAAACTTAGAGAATCAATTTCTCATTCACCCGTTATCCATTTTGAGCGTACCATATATCGAATTGCAGCCCTAAGTAAGGACAATCCGAAACCACTTTGACCCGACCCAAATCGGAAGTGGACCCCACTCAAAAAATTGCCCCAAAATAGTCATTTAATGCAATTTTTCACACATTTTTCCAACATTCTATTATAAATATATCTGTCAGGGGTTGCTCTTCTCCGCTAGAGGCTGAGCTTATTGGGATCAAGGAGGCTCTAAGTTGGCTCCAGAACAAGGGGTGGTCAGAAGTTGAAGTAGAGGTTGATGTGTCCCGCACTATTTATGAGATGATCAGGGGTGATAGCTGTTCAGCGGCGTGGGTCTTTTGGGTGATGATATTAGAGACTTGGCGAAGCTTTTTACTAGCATTTCCTTCAGTCATATTAAACGGTCAGCGAACAAGACAGCTCACACTTTGGCTAAAGTTGCTTGTTCTATGTCTGATACGCATTCTTGGTTTTATATTCCTCCTATGTTTATTGTTTCTGTCCTTGACAATGATTTGATTAATAATAATTAAATTTTTCTCTTGCAATATATATATATATATATATATATATTTTTTTTTTTTTTTTTTTTTTCTGAAAACCCAAACCACCTTTTGTTTTGGCTTTTTTTTTTTTTTTTTGGAAGGAAATTTTATTGATGAACGGAAAAGAGTACAATGCAAAAAAAAAAAAAAAGGAAAAAAGAGAAAAGGAAAAAACATTACAAAGCTAATCCCATGGGAAGTCTCTGGATTGAGATCTTGTGGTCATGCTATGGCGCCTTTTGTTCTTCTGATTTTTCCTGTAAATTTTTACCTGCGTGTTCAGGTTAGCAGTTGGCAGACAGTTATCCGAGTTCATCAAATTGGCCTTGCGACAAATTTCTCTATTGAATTTGGACTTCCTAATTTCTTCTGGGTATGAAAGAGGAGGACGGCGATCGCTATCCGTCGCATGTCCCAAGAAGTCATCTGTGAAGAAGGAGTCATCTGAATGATTAAAATCGTCAGAGGCGTCTGAGTAAGCTTGAATCGGTGACAACTGAGGTTGTTTCTCACAAGAGAAGACATGTTGATTTTCAGTATCTATTGTCTGGATTTGATAATGTAAAATCAGTTTGGAGATTGATGTGGGGTCCTCTGGTGCTAATTTACTTCTGTGTTGAAGAAAGGCTGAATCGTCCTGCATTGACTTTGACAGTCCAACAAAATTAGAAAAGATATTAAGGAATTTAAATATGCTCGAATTATTGGGCCCCATGGGTATATGAATGGACCCCCCTTTGTTTTTAGCCATTTTCACATAGTAGCCTGCTCTGTTAATTTCCAAGGAAATCCTGATCTCTCCAAATCGTCTTTTTATCTCAAAATTTGACTGATCAAGATTCCGGAGCTGTGAGATGAAGCGAATGATTTGTGGAGCCAACTCAAAATTGAAATTAATTTTGTACAGTAGAGACCCTTTGATTTCAAATAAGATCAAATCTCCGTTTTTCATTGCAAATTTAAATGATTTTGAGTCAATTTTGACTGAGTCAAAACCATATTCTCCAAAAAAGGAGTATTTTTCTCCAACTTCGTTTGAATCCGACCCGTCCCAGTTTACTTCAATAATGCTATTTTGGTTCTGCACTCCAGAGGGGCCTGCCTGCTCACAGGATTGAGCAAATCCATCCTGGCTTAAAGGGATACCACCGTAGGTAAGTGATAAAAAATTAATTTTATCATTTGTGACCATATTTGTGCCCATCGTCCTGCTATTGCCGTTGTCTTTATCTTCTTTGAACAGATCAGCCCATGTGAGGGCCTGTAGCTTTCCAGCTGAGCAAGACCCCACGACACCCCTAGTGTCGTTGACCGGCAAGTCTAGCAGCTTTACGTTTGCTGTAAGCGGTGAGGTCATATTAACCACCGTATCAAGTTTCCTAGTGTCGGCGTATTGCTGCTTGCCGGCCTTCGGCAAATTGGTTGCCGGCCTTGGATTGGTTCGGCCGGAGGCCTTCCCAAGGGGGCGATATCCACCGTACCTTGATTTAGAGCGCCGGTCGATTTGGTTTCTTCTTGCAACCACAGATTTTTCATCACTAGTGCTCCGATAATTGGAGGGATGATAATCCGGTATAAATGATAGCGATGGAAAATCATTCTCATTTGGATCTAAACATTGATAGCGATTGAAATTACCCGTAGACCTGAGGTTTTCTGTGTTGGCGAGTTGCTGCGCAGTGAAGCAGTGGTTTGGGCGAGCGTACTGGCGCCGTTTGTTGTGCGCCAACCATCCAAATTCTCCCTTGTGTTAACGCTGCGGAGGGATTGGCGACGGGGCTGAGCTTCTCTTTGCCGAATCAGATATAGCTCCCTTTCCTCAGTTTCATTCTTTCTTGAGTTTTTGGTATACCTGGTGTGATAAGGGTCAGCATAATGGTGCTGGGATCCTTCAAACCAGTGCCTCCGGTTTAGGTCGCTGTATTTGTAGCGCCCGGAGGGTGAGTGAGAATAGCTGTGAAAATCCCACTCTGTTCTTGGCGATTCCACTGCATTTCTTGTGAATCTGACTCTTGAAAATCTGAGTTGGGGATGTGGAGCATGGACCGATGAGAACTCTCTATCGCTGTAGCAACGAGAAAATTCATTTGTTTTGTATCGGTTATATATATATATATATACACAAATGATCCTGTCCAGACGTCCGGACAGGAACCGCCGTCCGGCCGGCGGCGTTTGGCCGCCTTCCCGGTGGAATTTTTTGATGAAATTTTTATGGCACGTTCTCCATCAAGTCTAGTTTATCCACAAAAAAATTCAGCCAAAAACTCAATCGGGAAGGTCGTCGAATGATTTTTGCAAGTTAACTGGTCCGGAATATGTATTTTCCGGACCAGTTAACTTGCAAAAATCATTTGACGACCTTCCCGATTGAGTTTTTGGCTGAATTTTTTTGTGGATAAACTAGACTTGATGGAGAACATGCCATAAAAATTTCATCAAAAAATTCCACCGGGAAGGCGGCCAAACGCCGCCGGCCGGACGGCGGTTCCTGTCCGGACGTCTGGACAGGATCAGGACTCTATATATATATATATATATATATATATATATATATATATATATATATATATATATATATATATATCATAATTCAAAAATTCAATACCAATTTCGACATTCCATTTTCATAATTTCCATGTCAATTACTTTGTCCCAAACTTAGTGGGACAAAGGAAGAACTAAATTGAAATTTACGTATTTAAAAGCCATACTAAAAGTTCTAAAAATAAGATGAGAAAAACAAGTTGGGTTAACACAACCATTGTTAGTTAGTATGAATAAAATAAGAGAGGTGTTTTGTGGTTTCCAATAACATAACCCAAACTTTTAAAAGTTATCCCGCTCAAAGAATGGAGGGGGTTAAAACAGCCTCCATATTAGGCAGTAGCCTAATATATTTAGGAATCTGCCTAATATATACTCCCTCCGTCCCTTTTTATTTAGCCAAACACTGTTTTTCAAGTCAAAGTTGTTCAACTTTGACCGATCATATATTTATACATGGTAATATTGAGTATATGAAAATGTTCTTTGTTAAAAAATATTATCATAAAAGTATAAATTTATTAAGTTTCACATAAATATATTAGTTAAAATAATGGATCAAAGTTTATTACCTTTGACTTGAAAAGTCAAAGTTGGCTAAATAAAAAGGGATGAAAGTAGTATTTAGCAATCTGTCTAATATCTATTTAGGAATACTTTGTATTTTGGCAATTCTTCTATAATAAATATATCTGTCAGGACTCCTATTGGAGTATCATTTCCCATTATTTCACATACATACTGTCATATGGTATACATTTGTAATTATGTGTGTATGTATTATGTAATATACTTGCACATTTTTATAGATTAAAATGCATGAACTCTAAATTAGAACTTTTAAATAATCACAAAAATTAGAACTTTTAAATAATCACAAAAATTAGAGCATCTTCAACGTGATAGTGTAATGGAGCGTATTCCATCCTATGTAGCATAGAAAAGAAATAGAGATAGAATAATTATTTGAATTTGATATAGAGAAAGTGATGTATGCGAAAAAATGAAAAAAAAAGATAGAAGTAAGTGTAGACAATGTTCACACATGAACTTTACATGGGATTTGAGGAGTTAGAGGGAGTTAAAAGTGATATAAAAATGAAAATGAATATGAAGATATGTAGGTCTCATTGGAAATAAAAATATTGAGATAAAAAAAAGAGACCCACATGTAAGTGTTTTCAAGAGGACTAAATATCCAACCGGAGATCGAAAATGTTGTTTGTACACAGCATTTTATACGGCGGTCAAATTTTCTGTGACGCAGACATTTTTGTTTTGAATGATAAAAATGTTTCTCTTCACAAAACGCCGGTCAAATTGTGTGTGCACAAACAATTTGACCGACGTGTAAAATGTTATGTACAACTTGCTATGTACACGAAGCATGATTGATTGGGGTGCTCTAAAGAAACTGAAATTGGTCACAGAAAGATCTTATGCCAAACCGTTGGTGCTCTAGTCAAACCCGTTGATTGAATGCGCTATTGACAAACTGCTAACATAATCCGCTAACCGCTGAAATGCTAAATGCCAAACACGCCCATTGAGTACTACCCTCACACTTTTTGCAACAAAATCCTCAGTTGGTCAATCATAATCAAATTCTTTAAAGATACATCCTTATACAAAAATCAAAGCAAAGTTGTTTTTGTAGTGCTATGCCTAGAGAACAATAAGTCGATAATCATACTCACACAGGTAGCTCAATGGTGACTGAGTGAGATAGTTGAGTTGAAATCTCAAACTCACTTCCTGACAGTGTATGAGTTTCATTCAATGTGGTAATTTCTTGTGTACACGCCCTAAACTACCTTGTTCATTGTGGGAGGGTGAGATGTTTGGGGTTGGGGATCCCACATTTTTAGATTGTGAAGAACCCTAATCATGGCTCCAAGCCTCCAATCACTGTCATGGATATGTTTTTCAAAGCTTTGACATAATATTACTAACAAACTCCCAACTTAATGTAACACTAATTTGCTATCCTCATGCATCCATCAAGACAACGATCAATTAGTGCACATGTTTTATTCTCTATTTTCTAAAAAAAATGATTGAATAATTAAAAATCGAAGTGATGAGACAAATTCGGTTTTTAGTAATTGTACCAACTACTCCCTCCGTCCCAGAAAATTCTTCCAACTTTCCTTTTTGGGACGTCCCAGAAAATTCTTCCAACTTCACCTTTTTGATTATTTGTGTGGCTCACATTCATTTCACCTTTTTCTTACACAACTACAACCACACATTTTCACTTTATTCCCACTTTCTTAAACTCCGATCCAAGTCAAACTTGGAAGAATTTTCTGGGACGGAGGGAGTACCAACTAAGGCATGTTATTTGGCTTATGAACTTCAACCAGCAATATCCCTTTAAGCATGCATATTAAGCTAAGATGGAATCCTAACTTGCTCATTATACTTTCATCTCCATTGAATATTTATACATTATATATTAAACTATAAGTATGGTGAAGGCCACGAAAATGCATGCCCCCATAACCCCTAATTATGACATGAAGAGGCACTATTTCAAGAGCAATGGAAGTCACCAATTATATAAATCGTCCTATCATATCGTAAATATGAGTAATTGAGTGTGTAACGTAGTGAGAAGTTTTTGAAGCCACGTAGTGAGAAGTTATGTGTGTAATGGTGTTTTTTGTGTGTGTGTAATGGAGTGTATTACATCCTATGTAGCATAGAAAGTGATGTGTGCGGGAAAATGAAAAAAAAAAAGAGATAAAAAAGTAAGTGTAGACAATGTTCACACATGAACTTTACATAGGATTCGTGGAGTAAGTGTGAGTTAAAAGTGATATAAAAATGAAAATGAATATGAAGATATGTAGGTCTTATTGGAAATAAAAATTGTTAGATAAAAAATGGGTCCCACATGTAAGTGTTTGTAATAGACTAGATATTCAATTATTGGAGATCGAAAATGTTGTTTGTACACCGCATTTTAATGGCGATCAAATTGGTTGTGACGCAGACATTTTTGTTTTGAATGTGAAAAAATGATTCTCTTCACAAAACGACGATCAAATTGTGTGTGCATAAACAATTTGACCGAAGTGTAAAATGTTATGTACAACTTGCTATGTACACGAAACATGATTGATTGGAGGTGCTCTAAGACCATTTGGAGTGGTCTAGAGTCCAAAATGTCAAAAATGGACTCCGTCCAAATGAAAACAGTGTTTTGACTCTTATTTCTTACATCCCAGCACCGTCAATAAAATGAACTCTGCGTTTTTTTACATATCAATTTAGCAAAACAATAATTAAATTATTATACGTAATATTTTCCTTTTAATTCTCCCCTGAATAATTGCAAAATAAAAAAATACACATTTTGATGTAAAAGTAAATAAATTTCATTAATTTTGTTTTATATTTTTCGATTAACAAAAATGAATTCAGTTCAAGTAAAGTTCGATTATGAAATATTAAGTTATTTTTGAAGTTTTATAAATTAAAAATTTGTGTTTCGTGTGATTTTGAACTCAAGAAAACTTTAACAATTAAATCTTCAGTTTTTTTTTCATTATTATATATTATATATTGGTGTCATTTGAAAGATCATAAAAAATCATAATTTTTGATATATTTTAAGAAAAAAATGGATAAAAAATAAAAAAGTTATAAGGGTTATAAAAACATTATTGTTTATAGAAATTACTTCAAATAGGACTAAAACTATGGCAAAAACTCAAAATAGGACTTGCTATGTTTTTTTTTCAAAATAGGACCATAGCGGTCCTATTGGAAACATACTCATTTCTTCCTTCCATTCTTACCCCTCCTTTAAATATTAGTAAAAGATAGTTAAAAGTCATAATTAAATGTTTAATTCATAATAAATTCGAAAAAATTTCAATAATTCGTAGAAAAATAATAAAAAAATTAATAAAATTTTTATAAAATAAAAAATAAGAAAAAAATTTTTTTTTTAATTTTTTTTTTTAAAAAAAATTAATAAAAAAATAGTAAAACTCCATAAAAAAAATTAAAAAAAATATGGATACGTTTCCCACCGCTTGTACTACCTCCCTGAACCACCACCTCCGATCGGTGTAAAAAATGCCACTTTTTTTTTTTAAATTCCACAAAAATGGCATATTTCTCTATGAGAATGCCAACATTTTCATTCTGCCAACTTGAATCCTTTTGACTTTTGCCAAAAATATGGCATTCATAATTTTTTTGGCATTTTTTTACCTCGGTGACAGGAGGTGGTGGTACCGCCTCCCTGCACCACCACCTCCGACCGTTAAAAAAAAATGTCATATTTTCCTACAAACTTCCATTTTTTTTGGAAAATGCCAAAAATATGGCATATTTCTCTTTGAGAATGCCAACATTTTTTTTCTTCCATCTTAAATCATTCTGAATTATGCCAAAAATATGGAATTCATAATAAATTTGGCATTTTTTCCCCAAATGACTAGAGGTGGTGGTGCTGGGGCGGTATAGGCGGCGGTGACAAAAAAAATATTTTTTTGATTTTTTTTTTTATTTTTTTTTAATTTTTTTTTATTTTTTATTTTTTTTTAATTTTTTTTTTAAATTTATTATTATTCAGAATATTTTTATT